ATTTCAAACTTATCTCAGTATCAGACTCTGAGTACCTTCATCAAAAAGAAATTATCACTCTGATTACACATATCCATATACTACACCAAGTTCTCTCTAAGGCCATGCTCATTAAGCTCATAATATTTTCTTACTTCAGTCCACATTACTTTCTTATTTGTCCTGTCTGTACTCTGTCCACTTCCATTACTCTTTTATTAGTTCAATCCCGACTAATTAGGTATAATACTATAATATGAACCATAGCTGCCAGAATTAATATGAACTTTCATCGAATCATCGCTCCTTTATGTTCACTAGTTTTGCCATGAAGTTCAGGTCACTATCTTGCAAACTTTATCCTTCCAATTGTCAAAGCATTAACTTAGCAAAAAGAAAGAGAAAAAATTTCAGCACTATACTCCATCCCAAACTTCATAATTTGCACAAAGACGACATCTTTCCAACAATGTTTACTCATTGCAAAATAGATTTTTTTTTTTAAAAACACTTTTTTCCTAGATGTGCCTCGAAATAGAAACATCATGCAATCAATTAACCAACTTCAGCTCAATTCCACATCAGCTTTGGGTCTACGGTGTGAATCCTCTATCCATTACACTATATTCAAGTCTAGTTCATTCCAATACTTCAACAATTTGCCTTAAATACTTCAATTCCAACTAGCAGAAATCATCTTTATGTATCATTTATTTATCAAACTTGCATTCTAACATTAGCTAAGTATGCGTTGATTGCGAGCCATTAGAAAAACCAAAACCTAGTTTCTCTCATTTGCATGAATTTCGAGCTAGTACGATCGAAGGAGATAGAGAAAAGGAAGTACCTTGATGGAAGAAGGGACATTAAGGCGACAAGGCGGAGAAGGACCGATGATTTTCAGAAAAATTTCTACCATCTTCTTCTCTTCAATTTCATCCATGGCGCCGTAACAAAACCTAATTCAATTGCAAAATTCAGATGTTTTCTCCGACGACGTTATGCTACAGCTACGATCACCGGCGCCGTATATTTGATCTCCGGTCAAAACTCCGGACTGTTCACCGGACGACTTTTGTAAACGTATTTCACTTTTTAATTATTCAATGCGAAGCTGAAAAAGGAAAAATTGGGGAAAATGTATTTATCTACGTCGATTAAGGATTAATTTTATAAATTTTCAATTCTATTTTCTCCTTTTTTCCAAAACTATATCTTAAAAAAAAAAAGTTTCCAAATTATAAACTCCTATAAATATAAATTACGCCAAATTACTTATTGTTTATCGGCATAATACATAAACATACACTTAAGTCTGATGACTAAACACACTAACTCGTTTTCACTGTGTCTCGTGGACATCCTGACGTAACACATAAATATTGAAGATATATAGATAATCATTCGATAAGTTTGAGTGTTTATCGAGTAATATGCTTCATAATTAAACTTTAAGAGTTACAACAAGATAAAGTGATTGAAAATCATCAAAAATCAGAACTTTAATTTCTGTAAGAAAAATAAAATAAAAATCAATAATTTAATCTCATATGCTATTTTTTTAAGAATGAAATGACCCAAAAATTGTGTCAATAAAAAAAGTCGGTACTCGATAAAATAGTCAAAATGCGTATAAAAAGAACCTAACACCACTTATCCATAGAATTTGTGTTTTAAAAGCACTTGAGTTCAAATTTTGAGTTCGAAGTCTTGAAATAGAGACGTCTTCTCTTTAAAAGAATTTTACGCAACATAATTTTGAATTAATCGAACCAGTTATATTGAGGAATATATACTTCCATGGGCTATCACAGTCCATATTGGTCCCATATTGCCCTAGTATCAGCCTAACAAGGAGGATAACACCACTCGTGGCTTGCCACTCATTTCAAAAACACAAGATTTAAGGCTACCCTTTACATTCATTAGGTCACTTCTCTATCTACATATTTTGTTTGGTTTATACATTAGATTTCGATTAAATTTAGAATCGTGTCTAAAAGTCCCACATTGGAATAAAAACATTTTCTAATAAAAGCGATTTCATATTCAAGTCTCGAACTCGATATCTCTGGTAAAGAATGAAAGAAGTACTTACTGCTCCACCGCAATCTTCGTTGGTTTTGTATGTATAATTGCTAACATGCTATATATCATTTGGTCTCTCAAACTTTTAGGATGAGGCTTTCATTTTCCACCATTCAATGTTAGATAATATATAAAGTATATACTATATAGCAATATCAAAATCTTTCCCTTTGTTGACACATTGATAAAAATGGCTCTGAGAATGTGGGCTTCTTCAACAGCCAATGCACTTAGAGTCTCTTCTACTGTTTCAAGAACCAATTTTTCACTCTCTAGATGTTTTTCTACTGGTAACTTTTTTCAACTTATTGTTCTCATTAAAAAAATAGTCTAAATTTGTTTATAGGGATATTTACACAAATAACTCGATGCAGAGACGAAGTCAGAATTTTTAATTTATGAGTTTTGAAGTACTATTCATTTTACTTACTAGGTTCTAAATAGATTATTTGTAGTTTGTTACATGGTGTTATTTTTGGCTCTGCTGAACTAGAATTTGCATTGTGGTGACATTTGCTAACCGATATACATAGATTATACACTGTTATACACATATTATACATCAGGTTATTTTTAATTTAAGTGGTTGGGTGAGCGGATGTTCAAGATATTAATTCTTATTTGTTGTTGTTTTGTTTTAACTTTATATTTATTTTTATTTTTTGGATATGTTGCAATTTGTAGTTCTTGAAGGGCTGAAATATGCATCTTCACATGAATGGGTAAAGCATGAAGGGTCAGTGGCAACAATTGGAATTACTGACCATGCTCAGGTTTTTCTTTGACTTTTAGTACTTTTCGTATAGTTTTTCACTTTTGTTTTGATAATATAGAAATCTCCGAGGGTTGAGATTATCAGAGGCAGAGTCAAGATTTTAACTTTATGAGTTCTAAATTCTAGGATAACGACATCAGATGTTGATAACTTGCTTCTGAATTTAATCTTTATACAAATATAAAGTTTGAACTAAAGTTATTGAGTTTGACCGAACCTTTAAGTAACCTTCTAGCTCTTACCTCAGGTCAAGTGACCTACTATTTGAAACTCGGTGAATAATGAGCTCGCCCCTCTACCCTTCTCTGCGGTAGACTTGCATATAGTTCTCTATTGAATGTTGGTTGTATGTTATCAATTGATGACATTTTCATACAGTAAAAACATAACTACAGGTAACCGTCCTTAAAAAATGCGGGATTTGTAATCTAGAAAATAAGACAAATTATCTGCTATAACATGTTATAGTGTGTAAAAATTCTTTACATCCGTTAGTGCATACGAATTAAATCCATGAGGAAATGGTGTTTTCAGGATCATTTGGGAGAAGTGGTGTTTGTTGATTTGCCAGATACTGGTACTTCTGTTTCACATGGAAGTAGCTTTGGAGCTGTTGAAAGTGTGAAAGCCACCAGTGACATTAACTCTCCGATCTCAGGCGAGATCATTGAGGTCAACACAAAGCTCAGTGAAACACCTGGTTTGGTAAATATCTACTAACTCATATATATGTTCCAACTACTTCATTTTTCGGGCTAGTTGAAATCTATGATGTTCGAACTTTTCAAAAAATACAACTAGGGTGCATGTCAAATCCTCCAAAAGTAGTGTATTTTGGGAAGAACAGACAAGGATGAGACAGCATTTTTGGAAAGTCTGAGCAACATAGGTTGAAAACTTGAAATTTCAGTTCCTAATTGAAACTCCAAGTACTTTTTGTGTCTTTCCTTTGTTTTTTCATCTACGTTGCTCGGACTCTTCAAAAATGCCACCACTCTGTGTCGGATCCTCCAAAAGTAGTGCAGTCTGGAGGATCTGACAAGGGTGAGGCAACATTTTTTTGAAAGTGCGAGCAACATAGGTTGAAAACTTGAAATGCCAGTTTCCTTATGATTTTGTTGAAATCTATGCTGCTTGGAGTACTCTTCAAAAATGTGACTAGATGTGTGTCGGATCCTCCAAAAGTAGTGTACTTTTGGAGGATCTGATATAGGTGAAGTAGCATTTTGGAAAGTCCGAGCAACATAGGTTGATAAACTTGAAATGACATATTCCTAATGATTTTTCAATGTTTCTTTTGTCACCTTATGGAACGAAGATCAACTCGAGCCCTTATGAAGACGGATGGATGATTAAAGTGAAGCCGAGCAGTCCATCAGAGCTCGAATCTCTGATGGGGGCAAAAGAATACACAAAATTATGTGATGAAGAGGAAATACATTGAAACTTGAAGGTGATTTTTGAATTCACCTTTTAAACTAACATTTGCTGAGATATTTTGATCAATCTTTCTTGTTAGTTGTTAAAATTCCACAAAAATAAATAATAAGATCCACTTTTCTGTTCTTTTTTTTCATTGCCTCAGCAGAATTGTGATTTGAGTTTTTCGATTTATGATTTTTCTCTTCCAATTCTTTCTAGTACTTTTCGCCACGTTAAAGTTGATCTATAGATAGAATATTTGCCTGTGTTGTTCATAGTTTCCAAAATGTTGCTGCACCCGTGTCAGACCCTCTAAAAATACACTACTTTTGGAGGATTTGACATGCACTAGTCGACATTTTTGAAGAATCTATGAAACATAGTCAATGTCAAAGGACAATACTAACTTTTATATTTCTCTGAGTTTCCAAAAATATTGCTGCAGCCATGTCGGATCTTCCAAAAGTACACTACTTTTGGAGGATCTGACATGCACTTGTCGACATTTTTGATGAACATGAGAAACATAACTCTGGCCTGAAAGTGTGACTATACACCAAGATTTGACCGCGTAATATGAAATTCTTAACTTGAATAACTGGAACGAGTGAAGATTTATCGGTAATTGACATACAGAAAAGGTTTAAAATCTGCTCGAAAATACAACGAAAACATTGTACATCAATGAACAGGAATGTGGTAAGGCTCAACATGAAATCAAGAGAAGAGGCAATTCTTATTGACATGATGTTGAGATCCTTTTGAGTCTTGCAAGACAATTATCAGTAGGACTAGGAATTGGTAGATATGTCACACTTGTTTTCGGATTAAGACGCTCGAGCCTGCACCAGAACAAGTTCAAAGCCAATTATGCATTAATATACACAAAAATCAAATGTACTATGTGAAGTTGCAGAACTCAAATGTGTGTTGATATGATATTAGTACCTATAGTTGAGAAGAAAGTAGTGAAGAAACACTGAAACTTCAAGCCTAGCCAACTCTGCTCCGGGGCACAACCGAGGTCCTGCTCCAAAGGGAAGAAACGCGCTAAATGTCTTGGCCTCATCATCCTGCTAAGAATCAAATCTGTTACTTCCTTAGCAATAGTTTGAAGTTAGTATTATCCTTTAACCATGACTAAATCTTCTGTGGCGGATGTAGCTTATTAGCTACGGGTTCATCTGAACCTAGTATTTTCGACATAGAACATCAATGTTAATGTGAAAACACTAAGATGATAACAAATTCATAAGTATAATAAGTTCAATCTTAAGAAACTTAAAGGCTGAACCAATCAAGTTTAAATCCTGAATCTGCCTCTGCTACAAGCCGACTCCAACTTGCTTGGGACTAAGGCGCAAGTATAGTTGTTGTTGTAAAGAAAATTAGTGCAAGGAGATATTGCTTATAATACTTACATCCCATCTTGAAGGATTAAATTCTTTGGGGTTCACATGATTGTTAGGATCCAAATTAACTTGCCTTATCCAAGTCAATACCTTCCATCCTTTTGGTATTGTGTACCCTATATAGCACAAAACAAATTCCATTTAGTACATAAGACATCTTATTTTGTCAAAAACTTGGGCTAAATGAAAGTGAAGACGAGAGAAAAAGGCGAAGTTTACCATTCATGTTGATTGTCCTTTTCGCGTTTCTATAAATAGCTAAGGTGACATTAGAGCAACGTAGAGTTTCATCGATTACCTTGCATTTGAACACAATCCCATATGTTAAAATTATCGAACTTTCAAAAGGTTTACATTCTCATACGACTAGACTATTAACAAACCTTGGTTAGATATTTCATCTGTCTAATCTCATCGTAGCTAAGTTTTTTATCCGAATCAGGCAGCCTTCTCTTAACAATTTCCTCTTGTTCCTCCTGAAAACAGAGAATTTCTCAAACGGTACATCAGACCTCTCTATAACAACATTTCATTATAACGACAACATTTCACTATAGCATCAAAAGATATCTGGACAAACGACGTTGTTATAGAGAGGTTTAACTCTAGTAACAAAACATGTGTTAAGATTACAAATGACTTGTTATGTTACCTTTGCTTTTTGTAAGAACTCAGGATGTTGTTCTAAGAACATAATTGCCCATGCTGCAGTATGAGCAGTAGTTTCATGACCTGCAAACACGTAAACGATTAACAAGTCGATGATCTCCTCATCGTTTAATCTCCTTCCTTCGTCGTCTTCAATGGCCATAATCAAATCAACCATACTGCCCTTTGATCTTGATTCATCCTTCATATTCATCACCTTCCTTTCATCTATTACTGATTGAAATATCTTCACCAGGTTTTCCCTAGCCTAAGTTAATGACCATAAACTAAAGCTTATTAGACTCCAGAATTTTCGACGTGGAACATAAATTTATATGTGAAAAATCATTTTAAAGTTTCAACAAACACTAAATTTGAACTGATAATTAAAGAAGTACAATGATTTCAATACTATTCCCTCCGTCTCAAATTACCAGTCATGTTTCTCTTTTACACGTCCTTTAAGAAAACATTAATTAGAAGAGGCTTTTGACTATTTGACCCTCATTTATGTCTTAAGATATAATCTCTCTTCATTAAATATTTACTCTATTGAGGTGTTTGTAGTCTTCAAGAATAATCACCACTAAGGATAAAATGAAAAATAAAATCATTTTGCCTAGAACTTCATGAACTTTTAAAATGACAATTAATTTGAGATAACTGTTTTAAGAGATCACGAAAGATAATTTGTGAAGGAGGAAGTAAGAATCTATAATAAAGATCTAACCAGTCAAATTTAAATCTTGAATTCGTCTCTAAACGAGTGGGTGAAAAAAATGGGACATAGCTAGAACTAACCTTGAATGCCCTATGATAAGCAAATCCAGGGAGATTGATAGGCAAAGCCAAAAAACCTTTCAAATAAATAGTATACACCTTTTCAACCATATCTAACCATTGAGGATCAATCTCACTACCAATCATGATTCTTATTATAACTTCAAATGTAGATTTCTTCATTTCACTAAGAAACTCAATTGGTTTTTCTTCATTGGCATTCCATTTTTCAAATGAACTCTTCACAACTTCTTCAATTAGACCAAGGTACAATGACAATGCATGTTTGCCTTTTATAGGAGATGTTGTTATTCGACGAAGACGCTTGTGTTCTTGGCTTGTAATTCCATGGAGAGCTTTTTTTCCAATGAGATTTAACACTGATTTAGGCCATCCCAATTCAAAGTTGTCATCATCCATCAAGATTTTCTTGCATACTTGTGGTTTTGTAACAATGATGCTTGGTGTTCCAAACATAAATGCTTTGTACATTCCTCCTTGTCCATACCTTCAATGTTCATTATTATTTTTTACCAAATATCAAGAATGTTAGCATTCACTATAGAAATCAATTAGTATAGTTAAGACAATATATAACAAGTTAGAGTGGCGAAACCACAAGTTTCTTTCGTTAAGGGTGATCAAGATTTAATGGTTAAAAATCATACCTAACTATCACTTTTTCGTGAATTTCATACTCCAACTATCAATTATTTTAATACATTAGAAAAATGAAACAACTGATAGTTGAGGTTTGGAATTCACGAAAAAGTAATAGTTCAGGTGTGTTTTTACCATTATCGATCTTCTAATGTACGTAGATGTGTAAAGATTGACTTTCGACCTATGCACATAATATAATTTTCTATATACAAAAGTATTAACAAATAGTACAACAACAAGTACCAGTGTACACACGCAAACCTTACCCTACCTTTGTGGGGTAGAGAGACTGTTTTCAATAAACTGTAAACTCAGGATAAAGGGTAAAATGGGGTAAAAATTTTTATAAAAAAAATCCATTTTTACTAAAAGAAAAGATGATTAAGGTAGACAACATACCTTGAAGTAAAGTAAGAGATAAATGATTCAGGATCACCATATTTGAATGTTGTAAAAAAAGTGAACATATTCCCAATGAATGGCAAGCTCATATCACCTGGAGGTATGTTATACTCTTTTGAACTAAATTTGCTTGTATAAAACAAGTCATTTCCTCTCTTTAACAAACAATAAATAGCAAAAATCACAATTGCAAAAGATGTGAAAAAGATTGATCCAAAATCACACACCATTTTCCACTATTTAGGCAAAACCAAGAAAGGTTTTATAATTTGCATGCTAAAGATAAATATTTGATTCAGTTGGTTTTATAAAGAGTTTGTCACATACAAACCATATATATATATATATACACACACACGCAAATGACTATGTGACTATGTCATGGGTTCAAGTCATGGAAATAATTACTAATATTTACATCAGGTTGGATAGATTGTTTACATGATTACATCTCTCGGGTGCAATATTCTTCCTCAAATCCTGCTAACGTGAAATGCTTTGTGCACTGAATTGCACTTTCCATTTTATTTGAATTTTATAATATAGTCATGGAGACTAATAGAAGATAAAGACTGTCATCTAACGGTCTATAAAATTTTACATTATAGTCTAATATTTTCTCACAAGATTTTCATTTTGATAAAAAATAATCTTAAGATCCTTATCTAATTTTGTTTTATTTTTAAAAATAAAATCATTTACTAAACAATTGTCTTTAAAAAAAAAAGATATAACTGATGAAGATTTTTTTTTTAATAAAGGGAAAACGACGAATATACCCCAAACTATTGTAAATGGTATACAGATACCCTCCGTCATACTTTTGGGACATTGGAGCCCCTGCCGTCCAAAAACTAGAGCATATATACCCTTTATACTAACGGACATACACGTGTCATAATTTTATCCACCGATCTAATATTTAATAAATATCGGATCAATGGATAAGATTGTGTCACGTGTCCCTATTTAGTCTTCCGTTAGAGTGAAGGGCATATATGCTCTAGTTTTTGGACGGCAGGGGCACCATTGTCCTAAAAGTATGACGGAGAATATCTGCATACCATTTACGATAATTCGGCGATATATTTGTCCTTTTTCCCTATAATAAAAAGACGGCAGATAATGGCATTATTAAGGTTGATAGGGGACACACATTGTATTTTTCATATGGTATCATCTGCCGCTTCATCATATATATATATATATATATATTGCGCCCCTTGCTCCATTTAATTTGCTGATGCGAGAATTAAGACAGAGACGGATTCAAAATTTTAGTTGGATAAGTTTGGTTTTAAAAGTTCTTAGCTAAACTCTACTTTAATTATTACGGAGTTTAAATCTAATATTTATAAAATGTAATGAAGTTTTTATGTAAAATTAATAATCCCGTATTAAAAATATTAAATTCAGATAAATACATTAATTGCCCCAGAATTGCCAACCGGCTTGTGTTAACCGGCAACTATACTTGGCTTATTTTTTTCACAATTATTATTATAAGGAATGGCCGCACAATTAACTAGTAGGCCAGCTCAGAGACGGGTTCAATCGAATTTAATAATTTTTATTTATATAATGTATTTATGTTAAAGAATTTCATTTTATATATACAAATATTTAATTTAAAATCTAATTATTGATACTTGAAGTCGTTATTTCAAAATTTAAAGCACGTAAAATTAAAATTATAACTCGGCTTCTACTAATAGGAGTACTGGAGTAATTACGTACGCCAGTCAAAACGCCCACTAAATATATTTGAGTGGAAAAATCATCTATATACGGTACTCTTACTGAAAAGTTCTCTATTTTTAGGACTCAAACACAAAATATTCTTATGTATTATTATTGGGAAGTTGTTTCAAACAAAACAACAATAACATACCCATTACCCAGTGTAATTCCACAAGTGGGGTTAGAAGATAGTAGGGTGTATAGAAGTTTTACCCATATTTTGCAAAGATAGAGAAATTGTTTCTGATAGACTCCAAGTACCTTAAACTCAAGGTCCATGTCTCTCAAATTGAAGAAAGTAAACATGACATCTCACTGTACAAAGTATCTCACATTCCCGCAAGGTCCAGGGAAGGGCTACATCCTCTCTTAGAATGTAATGTTGGTACCCTCTCCTGACACACACATCAATAACTAATTCCACGACTCGAACTTGTGACCTTACATCCCCTTCTCAACAGAAGATAAGCAACATAGAGAAAAAAAGATACAACACATTTACACTGCAAATCCAATGTTATTGATAATACACCCTTATATACAGACAGAAAACATGATGGCATCTCACATCTAAACACAGAATTTAACCAATACCACAAAACAAGAACACTTCAAATGACAAGAACTAAACAATACTACTGGAATGCGATCCAATGAAGACACACACATAACATAATACTACTAGAATGAGATCCATCAATAGTAGAATTCGCTCGATTCACTCATAAGGAGAGAGCTTCAGGACACAGAAAGACGACAACTACTCATTAACAAGCAATTACAACTATATATGACCATTACACATGACAACAACAGCTTCTAAAGATTGAGTACTAGAAATCGACATCAATTGTGTCCTGAAATCCTCTGTTCTGTCCCCTGAAGCCGTTATAGAACCATTTAAGATGCAAGAATTCTCCACGATAACTATATCAGGTAGCAAATTCGATATAGCAATGAGCAATTCGCGTGTTACATCGAAAGGAGCTTCCTCTCTATTTGCCATAAAATGCAGATTCTTCCTCTGAGTCTGAGTTTTCTAAATGCAATATACAACACAAAACTATTAGCTTGAAAAAACAGGCTTTTTTTCAAGTTTAATTAAAGAGGAATAATGAATGCTAACAATCAGAAGCTATGTTGTTTGGAGTTTCAAAAAATGTTGTCGTGCCTGTATCGAATTCTACAAAAATGCATTAAGATCAGACATTTAAAGAGTCCGAGAAATATAGACCAGAAGTACTATTGCAACAGCTAGTATTTAGCTGATGCCCCAAAGCAATAGTATGTATCATTCAATCGCTCTCAAATTATCGATTTTCTTATACACGTTTCTTAAGAAATATTAATTTAGGAATTAGGAGGAGTTTTTAACTATTTTATCCTTCATTGATATTTGAACAATCATAATATCACTCATATTTGACGTGTTTGTAGGTTTGAAGAATAATAACTACTTAATTAGGGTAAAATGGATAATTTTATTTTGAACTTTTTATAAAACCATAAATAATTTGAAACAATTATTTTTAGATTTCACGACAACTAATTTAGAAAATTACAACAACTAATTCGAGACCATTATTCTTAGAAATTAAGATAGCTAATTTTAGGAATGGTCAGAAAATATTTTCAACAAATTTCCACAGAAAGAAAAGAAAATTAAATCAGGGAAGTAAAAAAAAAATGTTAATAGTAAAAAAAATTAAAATTATCACAAAGTTTCAAAAGGCAACTATTCATTATTCTATTTAATGACCTAAACTATCGATCACTTCTTATGCGTCAATTGTTTTTTTTAATACTAAGGAATTGATAGTTTAGAACTTTAGATAGTTAAAATAAACCATGAATAATTAAGATATACAATTTACGAAAAATAATAGTTTGAGTGTTTTTCTTTACCAATAACTCGGAAAAAAAGAAGAAGAAGAAGAAGAAGAGATCTTTCCCTTTTCTTGTCTATAATTTAAAAACTCATTTCCGTATGTAGTATTACTTTGCATTTCTGCAAGAGACTATATTTACAACTTGCATGAACTTATAATCACGTGAAACAAATTTACCAACTACAACTCACCAAGTAAATTTACAAACTACAATAGATTACAATTTACAAAACCAAATAGCCAAATCTTATATATTAAAAAAAAAAAATACAAAGCAAAAACACAGAAAGTATTGAAAGAGAAGAGAGAAAAAAGAGGGTACCTTTAAAAGTAAAGCGCCTTTTTTGATGAGTATATTATTATGATTTTTTATTAAATATAAGAGGTGCTTTTCTATTTTAATTCAATTTCCTCCAAACTAGATTTACGGATTGTCAATCAAATAAAACCCTATTTTTGGTAAACTATATTTATTATTTTCTTACCCTTGGATTTTGAGCAAATAGTACTTTGGTCTTTGTGGTTTAGATAAATGTTACTCCCTCGGTTCTTATTTATATATCGTTTTTATTAAAAATAAATGGTCCGTAGTACTTGTCATTTCACAACATCAAGACATAAATGACATTATTCTTCATATTTACCCTTGAGAGTTATTAGCCTTAATAATATGAATTTGACTAACATAGAAAAACTAAATGATTGATTCATGTTCATAACTGGTCAACTTAATTAATTAATTTCTATTCACTTATTGAAAACTTGACTTCAAGAGAATATTAAATAAGGGTATAATAG